AAGACATTGATTTAGATTGTTGTTCTGATTGTTTATTTCCCTCCCAAACATCGAAGTTGTGTAGGCGTTGACGTTGGAATGATTGTTCATTTCTGTTCATTAATGTATTCAATACTTGTATTATATTAATTTGTTCACGAACAAAACAAAAACGATATGTATAATTGTATTCCTTCTGTATGTTTTGACACATTATTTGTTTCATATTACATTTATTTTGTTCGGTCATCCGATCAAAATAGGTCATATATCTAAATCATCAATCTGTTCTTTCTCATGCAAGATCGATTTAAAGAATAGAAACGTAGGTTCTCTAAATCTTCGCAAAATTAGCTATTGTATTTCAAAACCCGTGATTTAAAAATGATACTTATAATCAAAGAGATTGAAAGATTCTGCTTGAAATAAGATTATAGGGCGTTTATAAATATGTCATACGAAACAAACAAACATCTGCAAATTAAAGATATTACAAAAATGATAGTCGTATTGTCGGGAGCCTGCATCATCAAAACGTTTCGGTAGATGGAACAATTCGAAATCGCATATCTGTTCCAAACATGAAATTCGATCGAATATTTCTTCGCGAAGAAACTGTTTTGGTGGTGGCATTAATAGTAACAATTTCTTGTCGTCAATTGTTCGTGACGTTTTGACGTTTCATATTTGTTAGCTAGCGCTAGTAAAGTCTTTTGTTTTAACGCGCACTGTATATAGTTATAAGGCCTGAACACGTTATGTTCACATTGGGTGTTATATAGCATACGGATATTATAGTACATGTAACTTTTACAAGCACTTTGTTATTGCAACGCAATGACAAAAGACAGCTCTTTGAGCTGCTAATGATTGTTGTTGCGCCCATTGTTCCGCTCATAGGCGGCTATTCCCAGTTACCGGGCATTATTTGTTATTGTATCATTAGTTAAGTTTATTAATCTATTCATGTTTTCTATTTATTTATTTATTTAGTTCTGGGGAGGGAGATGTCGGATTACGAATTCATGACCCTTATACATAATGACCATGTTCTCAAATTACGAATAGCGGTCTTCATGAATAGTTGTCCAGTGAATAGCGGTCCTTATAACTAGCGAGCGGAGCCCTCCTGATGGGCCTCTGCCATTTTGGTCCGGCCGTTCACTTCGCCCCCCCCCCCTCTCTCACACACACATAATACGCAGCCTTATTGTAGCTAAACAAGAATCTATAGCAAGTCGGACAATTATAGCGATCAAACAATAGCCTTGCTCGGCCGCGTGAAATCCTGCCACGGCATTTTATGTTTTTACCTTTAGAGCGAACTTTTCTTTTGTATTCGCTCCATAGAACTCTACTTTATCTTACAGCGAGGTGAAATGAAAAGAGCGTCATCATGAGTAGATCTTTTGTTTAATGTTATCCTTCTTCTTCCTAGTTAAGTCAAACCTTCAATTTAGGCCTATCCATAATGTAGCTTCCTGTACCGTTCGCTTTTTTTTCCTGACTGCTATATGAAGCATGTGTATGCTCTGAATTAGGCAAACAGGGGACCGGCGCGGTTTAAGACCTCTCCGAACGAAATGTAATGTTGAGTTATGCCTTACCATAGCATATCGACTTGGTTTCTAACAAGGGAGCTCCCGGTTACGAGCTGCTCTGCTCTACCACTGGGCTATAGCGCCTCCCTCCTTTTAAAAAGATCTTTTAAAATTTGCCTTTTATTTTTTAGAATAAGAATCAAAACATGTTTGGTATGTTTTTGTATCTGTGCATTATGATTTCAAAATTTCACTTTCGCCACTTAATTATACAAATCTACGAATAAATGATTCGAATGTTAGAGCAGAAATCAATGTTTGTATTTGTGTCCCTGCCCGTTTTGCGATCATTTAGTACATAATTATAGCGCAAAGTAGAAGTCGAATGATAAATTATCACCAAGAACTGATTAATGTTTTGTATTGCATTTCCAATTGCTGCTTAACTTTATCACCATCAGGCTACGTTTTTTGTTTACATCTTCATGATACACATGTTTTATAATCTCGATTTAGTTCCCGGACTCTTTTTTTCTATTTATTCCACTTTTAAAAAGAGCTATGGAATTATTATGATTAAAAACGCCTTTTGGACGGGCAATTTTCGAAGGCAAATCTCGGGCGTGAAATCCTGCCACGGCATTTTATGATTTTTCCCTGAGGGCACTTAACAAAATATACATTTTTAGCGTCCCCGCCCGCTTCCTTTTTGGGGGCCGCCTCCTATTTCTTATTTTTGTTTTTGTTTTAATTTTTGTTTTTTATTTAATTTTTTTTTAATAATTTAAAAAAAACCATGAAAAACACTGCTAAAATTGATCTATTACTGATTTTTTTTTTAAATTAAAAAATCGTCCTTGTTTTCACGAAGTGACGGTAGTGAGGAAAATCGTAACGCAAAGTGAATGCAATTTTTTCACTACCGTCACTTCGTGAAAACAGCGACGAAATGTGGGCGGCCATATTGAAAAATAGCCCGACTGTCAGGGAAAATGTACCGAGCGGCCATTTTGAGCGGCCATTTCGAAAGAAAAAAAAAGCAAAAAGAGGGCCTCCCCCTACCTATTTTTCGAAAAAAACAGGACGCTAATAAAATATTTTTTTATTTTTTATTTGGCCTTAGAGCGAACTTTTCTTTTGTATTCGCTCCGTAGAACTCTACTTTTATCAAACAGCGAAGTGAAATGAAAAGAGCGTCATCTTGAGTAAATCGTTTGTTTGATGTTATCCTTCTTATCCCTAATGAGCAAACCTTCAATGTATTAGAACCAAGTCATGGGAGGAGAAAAAAAGCAAGATTTTACTGACAAAATATAAATTCTTCCAAGCTCAGGCTGTGGCGATGTGCAACGCGTAGCGTGAATATGAATGACGGGAGAGAAAGATAATTCATTTGTCCATTGTTAACGACGCTAGAATCATATCGCGATGTGGGAATTATACAAATATGTTGATAATCATTCAAATTACAAACATACACAAGCGACCCAAACAGTAATCAATTTGCCGACTATAACGGCATACATGTAGTCATTCACACTATTCGTCTTTAATTTTGTTTTTGTTGGGGACAATTAAGCTCGCAATTAAACAGCCATTAATCGTACATAGTCATCTTTATTTCACATTTCATACAGTCGTCACAAAAATTAAAAGAAGGCGTATAAAACCCAACAAAAATAAATCATAATTTATTCTGATCAAGATGAACGTGTTGATGCCCCCCCCAAAAAAAAAAACAAAACAAAGACGATCCACCAGACAAGCTCATGCTGTGCTGTAGCAATGTACATCGCAAAGCTTCGCCACAATGATTGGAAAGATAATACCCGCCCGTTACGACGCAAAACGGCGCGAGAAGAATAGATCGCGACGCGAGAAGAATACATCTTTTTTTTTTTTTTTTTTACAAACAATGGAATGTTTATCAGAACGAAAACCGGAGGAGGGGAAGACAGGCTTTGACCGACAAATACTTCCTGTATATCAAGTTTAAGCTGTACCGCGCATCACGAGCGAGAACAATGACGGGAGAGATAATGTTCCATCGCCTGGTGGGGCGCAAAAGGGCGCAAGAAGAATAGAGCGGGTTTATACCAACAATAGACAGTTTCTTTTCATATGCAAGAAACAGGTGAGGGTGACTATTGCGCCCCTTCGCGCCCCTTTGCGCCTCAATGCGTCACTTGGGACAAGACTGTTCTATTCATCGCGCCCCGACGCGTCCGGGCACAGTCGCAACTTTGGAAGGCTCCCCTTATCCACATTACAAATGGAGCAGTGTGGTGTCTGTGATTTATTCTTTGACTCATGCATGACTTATGTAAATTTGATTTTTGATTTGTTTTGCATGAAGGTTTCATTTGCGCCATTTTTTGTTTTAATATATTCATATGTAGTTACATCATAGATAGAATTATGTAAAGGGATTGGTAACTCATATTTTACACATACTTGTATTTGCATTCATTTGCTGATCATGTAGGCAGAATTATGTGTATCACTCTTTACACTTAGTTTGCACAGTTTTTTAAAGATTTTTCAGAGGACTTGTGAGAGCCATGTCATGTTTGTTATCCTTCTAAGTTTGAAATTAGGTGACATATATCAGAGTTGGGCATGACATAAACAATTTGTTTGATAAATCTAATCAGTAATTTAGATTAAAAATTTATTTAGTTCAAAAGTGCAAAAATGCTTATATCTGAATGCTGCAAGCAGGTATATTTCCTCTTGATAACCATAGGTATAGAAATACTAAAAACTGGTGCTAACTTATTGAGATTTCTTTTTTATTTCAAGACTATTTGGAGTTACTGACAAAAGTATGTTTCTTGCAGTTTGTTAGTGTTGTTTTGCATGCATGACACAATGTATTTTGATTCCTCACAAGTATTTCTCTGCCTTTTCCCGGTTCAAAATGAAAATATTTGTGAAGTTTCAAAAGTAATAGCCAATGAAACGATATCAAGATCTTTTTTTTATCAAACAGATAAAATTGATAATAGAAGGGATTGTTACAAGAAAAAATTGTTAGAGGTGAGGGTCGGTGATATAGTTCAATGGTCAGTTTTCATCTACTTGAGCCCCCCCCCCCCCCAATTTGCTCAAATAAATGCTAATGTTAAGCAGATTTGCACACTATTGAAAGGTTATTTTTATTTTTATACTACCATATATTAGTTCTAGAAAAAATTTTAAACAATTATATATGTAGTCACATCTGACTAGTGCAAACATATCCGAGAATCTCAATCTATGGGGTAGATGTTAGAAGGAGCTAGGCCCAACTTCTAAAAAGTAAACAAATTGCACTTACTGGTAACAAAATACAAAGCTCGCAGATAATGCAAAACGTTGGGCATTTAACATTTTAGTTCGCATGATTTTTATTATTTTTTGTTGTATTTTCTTTTGTGGCTGTGAGTTTGTTTGTTTCGCCCTCAAGACATTGATGCATGTGTCCCTAAATCATGTGCCAATGAAGTGAACTGCACAAACCACTTAATGAATCCCGGTGATGCTACTTACACATGTTTCTGCATGCCTGGATGGACAGGGGAAACTTGCTCAGATGGTTTGTACCAATTCTACCCCACATAATAATTCCAAAATCATGATTTAGATGAACGATATGGTACACTGTTGCCCATAAAGTTGAAATATGTTGTCCATAACTCCTTTCATGAATTGACAGTGGCAATATGATTTTATCTTGATAGATAAAGTGTATATCTTATCTGAACTTTATTAATCAATCTCTATGACTCTTTAAATTAACCAGTAAAGTTCTGCGTAGATGTAAACTATCAAGAGTAGCCAGATTGTCTTAGTCATTTCATGAAAAGAGGTAAGACAAAAATTATTCCAACTCTACAGGCGACAGTGTTGTATTGGGAAACTGAATTTCTGTATTGTGCTGATCTGATGCATATTTGCACATAACTAGTCCTCTTCCCTATTTTGTATTGATACCATTACATATTCAGTAGAAACTTTTTGCACAATAATTTACTTAATCACATCTGGCCAGTGCAAAAATATCATTTTATTGAAGTATAAAGCATGTGTACCGAACACTAATCATGTATATATGGTAAATTTGAGCACAGTTTACTTTTAGATAAACACTATGTACATGTACTGTGTTTTTTACAAGCAAATGACAGCACATGATTTTAAAGACACCAAGGCTAAATCTATACTCAATTATTAGTACCTCTATTATTTCACACAGAATGAATTTAATCATGTGTCTTTTTTTGTACCACCCAATAATCTTTGGTAAATAATCCAATTATATTTGTTTTATGGGATTGTAAAACAGTTCAATTATGAGCTGTTTGTTTATATGTTAACAACAACATTATATATTTTTCTATTGATTCACAAAATTATCAATTTCAGATCCATGAGGGCTAATGTTAATTTAGAAGTTACCTCAACAATACTTCAGGGCTTTGAAGTTTCAATTTTCAAATGCAATTTTACAAAATATTATTTAGTATAGTCTTATCAAATTCCCCTCTAATGTAATCATCTTAACAAAGTTTGTTGAAAGTGAATAGGCACTAAGCTTTGCAAAATTCTAAAGCATTTGCATTATACAAAAACAAAAGTAGCAGAAAAATTACTGCCTAAACATGGTAATCAAGAGCTTTGAATTATTGCCAAATGCCTGGCATTGGAGAAAGAAAAAAATATTTTGCTGTTTTAGATTCATTTTTTAACATGCTGAAAAGGTTATTCAGATACAAATATGCATAATCCTTTTTGTCGAATGTGTAGATTTTCGTGAATGTGATTCGATGCCGTGCGAGAACAACGGAACCTGCATGGATGGCCAAAATTATTACAACTGCGCTTGTCCTCCAGGCTTCAATGGATCATATTGTGAACATAGTATGTGAACTTGCAAATATAGGGGATGATGAGTAGCATGAAAATGCTTGATCTTTATTTCTGAACATAAAAGGGTTGAATCATTACTAAGGCTGCTGAAAACACATTTTATTTACCATAATAAGTGCATTTACTCATTGATTGATGACTTGAAATTGCAGTGCAAATAAAATTTGTGACTATAAATTCTGTATTCAATCAAACAGAAGTTTAAGATTTGGAAGGGTTATTTCAAAGAGTATGCTAGGAGAGAGTATGTAGTTGTATTTTTTGCTATGGTTAATCCAAATCCCAATTGTTTCTTTTTAACCCTTTGTGTGCAATATTATAGGGGAGCATAACGATATTAGCATAGTTTAATGGTAAATCTGCATCCTTTCTCTAGGGAAATGAAATGCTAATATCTACAGAGTTTTTAAATAAAGTGTGAGTAGAATTTTCTTGAATTCCTGCTGGCCTTTTCAAAAGAAAAGCTTTATGAAACAAATGAAGCAAAGCTGGTAGTATGATATTGCTGCTGATTGCATACAGTTTTCTGATGGTATGAATAATTTGTTTATTAATAGAAATAGCAATTAATATGAAGGTTGTCTGGATCTTTCAGAAGTTGGCCATCGTAACTGAGATTGGTAATCTGATTGCAGAGTAAAATAATGATTGAAATGATCGCTTTTAGAGTGTGTCCGATGGAGGAAAAATATTTAGAAAGGGGCTGTTGTTTAAGTATTCATATCTACTGCAACTATTTCAGTCTGTCCTGATGGTACTTTTGGAGATTACTGTACGGTGAGCTGTACTTGTGTGGATGGGGCTAACTGCAGTAATGTCGATGGGAGCTGCACTTGTGAGCCAGCATTTGGGGGAGCAGTTTGTGACAGAAGTAGGTGAACTTGTTGGTATTGTGATGGCTAAAATCAAAGAGAATTTAGAGAAGAAGATAAGCATGATCATGATGAATGTCTCAGTAGATATCTACTTATTGTGAATTCTTTGAATTAAATTTACATCCAAACGTAATCTTTATATGCCACACAAATAATCTCCCTGTGCCACATTGTATTTATAATGGTTTGTATTTATAATGGCATAGATATTCCAAAGGCTTCAAGATTTTTTAACTGTTTTCAAGATTAAATGCCAGATTAATCTATACCGGTGTTAAGAAGGATGCAATGGAGGTAATCAAGACCAAAAAAGGGTAATTTTGCAAAGCCGTTATGTTTAAAGCAATCCTTCCATCAAGTGTTGCCTGTTGTTTATGCAAAATTGCACATGTGGCAAATGAGTATTAATGGTACATCACGCTTACCGGTATATCCATGTATTAAAGAGGAAGCCCACCCTGGTATTAAGTTGGTTTTGATAGAAGCCGAAACACAAGATAGTTCATTGAAAGTTTGAGCTAAAATCGATTAAGAAAAAGACAATTATCTATATTTGAAGGTGCGATCAATCAAATAGGCAACTCAGTGACATACAAGCTCCTCTCCCATCTGCCCTATACTAAAAAACTGCAATAATTTATATTTTCCCGTAAGATAATTGTCAATCATGCATTCACCCTAAATATGATTATTGCAAAAATGTTTTTATGCAATCCCTGTATGAAACAAATGTATTCCAACATCAATAAACTAAGAAAACGAAAGTTAATTTTAAAAATTCTGTAGGGAGCAAATTGGAGAGGAGCTCGCATGATACGTCACAGTGTTGCCAATTTGTGTTTCACTAATGACAACGTCTAATATTTGTTACTTTCCTATTATTTAATCAGAATTTGCTCAAACTTAATTGATTTGTTTCTCTCACATTTGTGCTTTTATTGAAACCCACTTTATACCAGGATGGACTTCCCCTTTAAGTTATACATGTGCATGTACTGTGCATGTACTTTGCATGTAACTACATATGACCACTGAGTGTTCTTAATTACACCCGTTTACGGTTGCAATAGTGCGCATGCGCAGACATGGGCGCCATTTTAATTTACGAGTAAACAAACCATTGACCTCTAGAGGTCAGTGGTTTACGCGTAATTAAGATAGCGCCCATGCAAATATGATGTGAGCGCACAGTGCAGGCAGTGACGCAACAATACATGCGCATCTGAAAACATTCATGACATCACTGCCTGCGCTGTGCGCTAACATCATATTTGCACGGGCGCTACCTTATTACGCTTAAACCACTGACCTTTTAGAGGTCAATGGTTTGTTTACTCGTAAATTAAAATGGTGCCCATAACCATAAACTCGTGTATTAAAATTGCTCACAGAATGCTCACTAGGAATCTGTTGAACATAAAGACCTTTTTTGCATACTTTTCTGGCCTTAACAGATTTTTTGGAGTACATAAAAAAGCTGCAACTTATGTTTCATCTTTCCCAATTTGATGGTATTCCAAATATAGAATGATAAAGTGAGATGAATTTATTCCTTGCAGTAATATGTTGTATGACAAACTTCATGCTGAACAAGAAGAACATAATTCGTAATAAGTACCCTAACCATGGCTTAATGGTACTTTCACTCTTTGCAGGCGAGGTTACAGTCACAGCAAGTCGCACATCTAACGATACAATATCAAAGGGCGACGACTTTACACTAGCTTGTGAGGTCAATCTCGCAGGGGAATACCTCAAAGAAGTTGCTTGGTACAGAAATGGTGACAAACTCCCGGTACAATGGATGAGGATTACAGGGTAGACAGCAACCCTGCCATGGGAATGTACAACATCACCATCCTGGGAGCCGATGTGGTAGATACAGGGTCCTACCGCTGTGCTGCTGTGACAATAGGAAATAGATTTAATGCATCAAGCGAAGCCATTTCAGTTGATGTTGTTGGTGAGAAGCTAGAAAGGTTGATGATAAACAAACTATACATGCATACAGAATTGTCATACGAATCGAAAATGTCAATATCCGGTCGATTTATACATGTACATTCAATAAGTAAGTTTTTTTTTTTTTTTTAATGAAGTACATGTAGATATCTGATATTCTCTCTTTAAAGTTCTATGTATATGTGTAAACACCATACATAAATTAAAGGGTAATTTGTTACAAGTCCAAAATACAGGCATTTTAACACCTATAGACAGTTTGCAAAGAAGAGTAGTGTGTGCTGATCCGTTTAGAAATTGTTGTAGGTATATTTTACAACATTCAGATTGTTCTGAGAATTCAGCATCGCATTGCAAATGATATTGACCAGATTGTACTTCTGCCTGTTACCTGTTGTTCGTTGGATACCCAGCTCAATTTCATGGAATTTTTTATTTGTACTGCTCCTTTTAGTTCCTGGTCAAATTAACCGTGACCTCAGCAAACTTGAGGATCGTATCCAACTAAACCAAACGGCAAGTCTCATCTGTACCGTGTTCTCGAGCAGTGAAGCAATCATAGCATGGGAGCGGAATGGAGTGAGACTACAGGATAATGTGACCAGGATTAGCATTGAACCAAGCCAAGAAATGGGAAATGGAGGGACGTATTTTTTCAGTGTGCTCAAGATATCTGACACTGTCCGAGAAGATAATGGAGTTTTTATGTGCTTGGCTCTTGACGGAGCTGGGAATGTGACCGACAGCGCTGATTTTACTATCTTTGTCCAAGGTAAAGAGTGAAAGTAATTTTTCTTCAATATCAACTTTTTAACTCCTTTTCTTTTCTTTGATTGATGTTCTTTGACTGTTGATACAGATACCCAATGAAATCATTGGATTCAATTTATCATACAATATATGCCCTAACAAATCTTTCTCTATCTCCACTCCCTTCATTTGGGAGCTTTCCAGTCGATTGCTATTTTCCATGTATGCTTGTTTGTGTCCAAACCACAAAGGTATCCTCATTCTATCATGTATCTAATAATACATCGGGAAAGGAAGAAGTGATAAGTGCAAGTGTTAATTCTAAGGCTTGAACCCTTGACCTTTTCATCTAAAGTCAAGTACCACTAGACAACAACACCTCTAAAAGCACCAACTATGACTAAAACAAACTTTGACCATTCTTTTTCCTGTATCTTTCACAGAGGTGGCAGAACTTGCTAATCCAGAATATGACAATGTCCTCACCATGCAACTTCAACTTGTGTGGGACTTCACAGTTCAAGGCAATGACGATGACATCAACTGCACAGCCAAATACGGGATTGAAGGCACCAATGAGAAAGGGCCAGATGTTGTGGGGGGTACATCACCTATTGTCGTGACGGGCTTGAAGCCCTACACCATCTACGAGTTTCAGCTGATCTGTGTGAATCTTGCTGGAAGCAGCAAGGCCCTGGACTTTGGACCCCAACGAACCCTAGCTGGAAGTATGATCACTATCTTGCATGAATATTCATTCTTATGTCACCCTAAATGAAAAAGTAATGTATGTATTTTAGTGTGTGAGTGGTTTTGCATATATTTTCTGAATATATTCCTCCATTTCTCCTTCTTGTTAAAGTTTGATGTAAACTTGCTTAATTTCTTCCACCATAAATATAAAGACCCTTGCATAAAAAATGATTACCGGTAGATGTTAATTTTTTGAACGATGAATTATACTTAATCATAGAAAGGTAGAGGTAGAGTTTTAAGATAATGATAAGAGATAATTTATTACTTTATAATTATTTATTTTTGCGAATAACTCATTGATTGCAAATTTAACAACACCTTAACAATATTTCCAGTAAGTAATGTCGCATTTCAAAATCACTAAAGAAAGCCATGTGGCATGCCGTACATACATGTTTAAAGCGTCTTTACACTATAGCACGAGCCATCATCGGGTCATGAAGCGCAGTTCGATACCACATTGATCCTAATGGGGCACTTCAGTAGATTATTTTCATTTAATTCTCGCGAAATAATTATAATATTATGATACTCAAGAATGAGTTCATGATCCATGTAAATAGAATATTAATGATTGAAAAGTATATAATGGGTAGTGGTTGTGGCTTTACGCAAATTTAACCACTCACAAATTCTTCCTGGACCCCTTGATGTGCAAAAATATCTTTACACAAAAAATATTGGCTGATACTGTATTGGAAATAAGAGAGGTGTCTTAGGAACGTTCATGTACGTCATATGTGTAAAAGTTATCAGTATAAACCATGACTTTTCTACAGATATATTGATTCCTCATTTCAAACATACATGAAGCAGATCAGTGAAAAAATCTGTTGGTGAAAAATCATGATACTAAATATATTGATTGTAGGCGGGGGCATTTGGAGATCAATTCGTCTTTTAGTCTGCCATGGTGATAGAAATGGGGCTTTAAAAAGAATCAAATTTCTCCTCTTCCTGGGAAGCATTCAAGCCCTTCGTAAATGTTACAATGTTTGTAGATTCAAGTCACAATGATGTAAAAACGAATCTTATAACACAGAGCTCAATTAATATGTGCATTTCCCATTCATTTAAACATGTTTTGAAGAAAAAAATGGCGGCTTTTCTGCATCATATCTGAACGAGCCTTATATCTCAAGCATTAAAACCACTTTACAACAAAACTTCTATAATATGTATTCATGCATGTACATAAATTTAGCAACTAATGATAGTACAAGCTGATGTATGTACATGTACCGGTATGTTAATAAGCACATTGGCTGTAAATTCTCAATTATTATATATTTTCTAATTTTTTTAGCACCTGGAGAACCTGGAGGACTTACTGTTGATGATACTCCAACTGAATGCATAATTTCTTGGGGGCAACCAAGAGAGCCAAATGGAGTGATCACAAAATATACAGTAAGGGTTATTTTTATTAACTTAACAACCTAGGATGTATTCAATGAACATTGATTGTGAAGCCTAGAATCATATGAATGCCCGATGAATGCAAGCCTCTTTCAATAGGCTACGATTAACAGGATCATTTTTAAGCAGGCAGATTTAAAAGGGCATGTTTAAAAGAAAGAATTTTTTTTTTAAAGTATCATTGAGTAGAGAAATATGTGACTTTAACCATTTCATTTTCATGGTTGTTTAAAGTAGAAAAGTATAATAGGAAAATTGAGTACTGTTTGCACTAAACATTTTGTGATATTTCACCCATATATCCCATATATATGTTGGTCTTGAACAGCTAACTTTGTTTCAAAGTTACAACAATATATTTGTTTGCAGCATTTTTGTTGTTGGGGGGGGGGTTCTTGTGAAACAAAAGAATTGATAAAGTTTACCTAAGGGAACCCTAAAAGATTAAGATATACTCTTGTCGCAAAAGAGTTAAGAAGTCCACCAGTTAATGCCATGGTCACAACTCACCGTGTCCTTTTACAAGTGTATGACTGCAGCTGTGGCCTGGTCGTAGGCCAACTCATGCGATTCGTACGTCCTTCTTACAACTCCTCGTGGGTACCCTCTTGCACCCTCATCACAGAAATTCTCCTCCCTTGCCAGTAGAAATCCCATAAAATGTTTGCAATGAAATGCAGCAGCTGTTTGTGCCAATGTGTTTTTCAAAAATGTAGCCTCATGCAGAGACTGTTGGACACACGTCCAACAGTCACCTTGGAAACCTGGAAAAAACCTGTAGACCTGTGCATCTGATGCAGGGATTTTCTGTGTAATCCATTGTAGATCACATGCAGAGAAGTGCTTGGACAGTTGTGACCGTGGTTTAAACAGATATATGAAAACGCCCACTTCATTCAACAATAAAACGATACTTATTTAGCATTGATACATCAACATCCTATACTAGGATATTAATTGTGTGTAATTATGAATATTGCTCCATTTTTCTTGCAGCTCTATACAGAGGTCTTGAAAATGGGCACAGATGTTGTGGATAAAACTGATTGGACGGAAGTACCTGGTTGTCAATTGCAGATAACATTTATGAAGGCAGAGTTAGCTTCCTTTTCCATATTTCGTTACTCTGTCACTGCTTCGACTGCACCTGGCGAAGGGGTTACTGCTACCACTACAGACACCTGCGAAACACCACAAGGAGGTTTGGTTCTTGATAATTTAAAGTGTACCAATCACCTGAAAGTATAATTTGTGACTGTACAGGTAGAATGTTTAAAATTAATCTATACATACTTTACCTGGCATTCTATATTAATTAAATGGTTAATGATCATGAAGAAATAAAGGATAACACAAAATCCTGTGTATAGAGCGTGCATAGAATCAAATTCCATGTTCTCTGTGCGCACCCTATTCTATGCAAGTGTTAAGTAAGCTACTTGAAGTGATAGTTGAATGTTGTTGCACAGGGCGCTACACAAAATAATTTTATGAGATAATTAAAAACTGAGTTGAAATTTGAAGGAACATTCAATTTAAATGACAAAATCATCTTTGTTTAAACAAAATCGGTTCAGAGACGGTTGAAATTTCAATAAATATAACCATTCTAATATTTGTGGTGCCCCACAAATATTCGATAATTTTGAACCAGCCGTTGAAAAAATGAGATGCCAATGTTGGCTTTTTGTTATATTTATGTGTTGGTTATGATATGCAAAACCAGCTGGCCCGTGTATTTTTATTATTAATAATTAACAGTCGCTATATGTTTGGGGAAAGTGGAGCTGATTTGTTATGATCACAATTTAACTTTAACACATTTTGGGGTCTAAAATTACCTTAATAGCAATTTCAGGTCTTAAAAGGGCACTAAACATATCATAAGAATAAGAGCAATAACCATGCACTTTGGAGTTCTAAAACAAGAACTCAACTATCCCTTTAACTAGACAATTGACTGTTCACTGGGAGTTTTTTTTTTTAAATCTCTTTGTATAGAAGAAATATTTGAAGCTCCTACTTTGACTACATTATAGCAAAATTGAACCCCTCACATCAAGAGCAAAATATATTTTGGTGATTGGTAAATTAAAAACTTTAAAAGTACCACCGCACTCTTTGATACATACTGGCTAAAATTTGCAAAACTTGAGGATACATGTATGTCCCACCTGAGTAATATTTTACCCAATTATATGGACATCCTTTTCCTACAAACTGAGCCAAACTCACCAGAGTCGGACATATAATTGACCACATTAACATTGGTCTGATATGAAATACATAATCTTAAAAGGGTTTGATTTGGCATAAAATTAATTGTCCTCTTTCATTTTGTTTTATTCTTATTTCTTACCTTGTTATTCTTTGGTGTATAATGCAGATGGTTTGGTGTGATTTCATCTTGTCCACAAGTTCACCTTGAGTATTTGTTTTCTAGTGGATTTGGCACCTAACAATTTGTATATGATATTATCAGTGGTATAAGCTGAGTAATAGGGAATGGAGGAGTGGCAAATTTTAGTTACATGGTGACAAAAAACAAGGTTTGGGTGCCTGAACCCCTCATTATTTTGCAAAATATGTATTTGTGCCATTTATGTCACTCAACAAATAAACTAACACAAAGTTTTGATTTGTCAGTCAACTTACTGTTTTATTGTAAACCAGAGAGGTTGATGACTAGATGGATTTTTATCATTGTTATTATTATCATTAATATTACATCGATTAAACACATATTATATATTTATTTATTTATTTATTCATTCATTTATTTGTTGATTCGTTTATTTATTTGACAAAGAAAATGCAAGTCATACATACAAAGTTATAGATAAAAGATGCAGACTACATAAAGAATGGTATGTGCATGGGCCAGGATTCACTCACATGCCATTTCGAAAAAAAATGTGATAGATTGCACGGTACACAGAAATAATTATGAAACTTTACATTCACTTGTGTTGTGTTTCGAAACTGAATGTAGGCCTAAGTATCCTCTGTTTTTATTCAGTGCCTGTTGAGCCAGATACCATACCTTCCCCTAGTGATAATGCAATCTCTCAGACAAGCTTCATGACAACGTTGCCGCCCCATGATGCACGCAATGGGCCCATTAGGTAAGAGAACACTTCAGCCATCCAATCAACTCCACACCACTGAATATTGGTATATCGTCCAGCTTATTAGCCTTGCATGTAAAAGCGCTTCACTATTTGCTCCACAATGTAGAATAAGGACCACTTAATAAACAAGGATAAAAACAATGTACCAACACCAGTTGAACCGATATGAACGTATAACAACTTCTGATCTCTAACAAAATAGGCGGGCATTCAGTTTATTGTACTGGTCCACACGTAAAGATGTAGTAGTCTTCAGGAGTTCAGGGTGGTGGTGTGAAGCTTGTTCCACAACCTTGTAGCAACTGATGGGAAACAATACTAATGCATTAGCAACAACAACAATTTGTTATTGGGTCGTGCACAGTGCAAGTCTTCTCAGTGCCCTTCTGGCAGAGTTCTGTTGTACCACAATTGTTGCTGTTATGCATCTATTTTACATTAAACAAAAGAAGAAATAATACATGTGATGATCTTATTCAGTCACATTGTCTTGGGTTTGATTAGCCTTTTTGACAACACCGTGTCATTTCATCACTGAATCCAGGATAAGGGAATTTTGTATTAATTTGGTCTTAATATATGTAAATTTGCCATAAAATATGAATGTTTCCTGAAGTGTAGCAAAAAAGACAACACTTTTTGTATCATACTTTTTACGTAAGGTGTTTAGTTGAATTAGTGTTTATCAGTAGACTGATTTTTAGGCAGGTCAACTTTCAGGATACCGTATCATTTTGTAGAATTCTTGACCATACATGTAATTAACATCCGAACAAGACTTGCAAAGTCTATTTTAGGTCTTCCTTATGAAGTGTTTTAATTCTATTTTGTATAATACTTGTAGTTAGGATAAATTGTTTTTGTTTAATGCCATAATGAGGTATTCAGAGCAACGTTTTACTTGACAGGATTATAAAAAAATGGTGGATGTTTCATCGAACTAATTCTTAATTATTCAGATAATTTTAGAAACTTTGTTCTTTTAGAAATTGGAATCTTTGACCTGGGGTCAAAATAATGGGCATTTTTCTACATACATGTAAATTTAATCTTATTTTATCAAGTGCTTACATTTATTTTCTTCTTTGTTTTTTATCCGTTCAAGTTGTTGCGAGGTGATTGTTGTAGAACTGCAAAGTGGTGATGCAGACCTAGATTCTTCAGACCCTAGTTACAGTCCTGCACAGATCATGAGCTACAAGGAAGCACAGAACACCATAGGAACACCATATAGTGCTGTAGTATTTAGCAAGTGAGAAAACATTGCTTTATTGATTGATCAACGAATGAATTATTTCATTTGCTGGATTAGAAAGCAAGTGCTTGTATATGAAGGAAAGCATACTGTGGACCTACAGCTTTGAGTCCTATCCAAAGGACTTTCCTTTTGCTGAATTAATCTCTCATTAAGAGACACCAAGGGCAACAACTGTTTCAAAACTGGAACCTCCAGATTATGGGACCACTACTCTACCACCATTCCATCCAGATTTATATCGTCCTATTTTCTTTGTTCTTTGTCTTCCTCTCTTTTTTCTTGTCTTATTTGATTTGATTTGATTTGTTTTGTTGTTAAAAACATACAAAATAGCAGCCATAAGGCTAAAACCAATTGACTTGACAATTTAAGAGTAAAACACACTTTTCTAATTAGACCTAATCAATTACCGCGCTCAATTTACGAATGCTGTCATCAAGAATCATTGAAAAGCTTACGTTCATTGATTTTTCGAGGTTATGTAAAGGGAATGTCCTTTCACCTTGAAAGCCTTAATGTGATGAACATAATCTTGACAGAATACAAACAAAATTCTGTCAAGGTCTGTGACGCTCAAAACGCTCAGACATTTTTACCCCAGTCATGCAGTGCCAAGCCGCAAAGGGAACTCAAGGAACGCTCAAGCAATATCAGGTACCCATTTACCCCTAAGTCAAGAGTGTCAAAGATAAAATGTCTTGCCAAAGCATATTAGTGCCGGGCTGGGAGTTGAACCCTCTACCTTGTGAGATTCAGTCCAGTGTCTCATTCACTAGACCACAGCACCAAAATACAAACGATTGCTTACATCCCATTTTACATATTTTTTTCCTTTCTCGTTACCTACAATTTTAGCTGTCCAACTGATGAAGTTAAAGTTGTTATAGGTGCAACAACTGACAATTCATCGACCTGTTACACTGGAGGTTCGGCTGGAAGTGCTAGTAGAAGAAGGAGACAAACAACAAGTGCCAGTACTCTCACCGCCGTCAATGGCCCTCTCAATACCGGTGGGATCTACTCTACCTTTGTCAGAGTCTATACTCCCTCTCCAGAAGATCCTCAGGTATTTATGCAGTGACTGTGGCTCATACAGATATGAGACGGTTAAGGGGAGTGTATCATGGGAAATACTGGTTAACGCCATCTACGTCTTCTTTTGGACAATTGCACGTAAACTAATGGATTTGATTAACTGGGTCAGCGCGCGCTAGCGTTCGCAAAACAGACCGAAGTTCTCCTCACGCTTCGGTTTCGCGTATGGTGCACGCACGTGAATAGGGCGCTTTAGTAACGAGACGGTACGCAAGGAGACGGAGTGTTTAACCAACTGTGACGGGTCTCGCACTCTTGTTACCGTCGTGATATTTAAGCGCTTTCGCTGTGGTGCTAAAGGCGACGGGGACGCAAAGTCCGTATCCAATTCCCGCGCGCGCGCTATCGTTTAAATTTAGTCTTGATCTCAACAATCATGGCGAATCTTCACGAAGTCAGAGAGACAGTTGTCTGTGCATATGTTCTTGACATTTTTGGATGATGAAGAATTCATGCTTTTGTATGATTTGAATGCTCCGAGCAATCCTGATTTTCAGTATTGGAGAGATGACTATCGGTTCGATTTGGACAACTTAAACGATGACGAATGCAAGAGCTGTTTCAGGTATGAGAGAGTTTAATACAATTAGTACGTAGGCCCACTCGTACATTTACAACGGAGTTAATCCAATCAGATAAGTGCACAGTTCCGAAAGAGCAATTTATCGTCTAGTTAGATGTATGTATTTATTTTTTATAAATAACTAGATACTAGGGTCTTATAGACCTAGAATCTAATAAAGAAATACAATTATTTAAGGTAAATAATATGATTGACTTATCCAGTGGCGGATCCAGGGGGGGGGGAATCATGTAAAATCACGTGATTTTTACCTTTTTGGGGGGTTGGCCCCCCCCCCCCCTGGCGCTCAAGGGGGGGGGGTGGTGCAAATTGAAAAATGTTCAAATTTTCGGGAGCAAAAAAAAAAAAAAGTTGGGCCCCCTCCCCTAAGAAATCCTGGATCCGCGCCTGCTCTTATCTGAATATGCGACATGATGAAGTGGATGAAAGATATTCAAATTTCAATCAACAAAAATTATGTGAGCCAGTCAGATCAGGCCTAGATCTAGATCTACAAAGGCCTCGATATAGGTCTAGGCCTAAAGTTAGTGCCTGCAATTGACATATCAATCAATGTTCTTTAATTAGAATACACGCATGTACAACATAGGGCTAACTTATTATACAATACTGTCAATAGGTCAGTAGTGACAAGAAGAGAAAATAAAATGGTACAAATGCTTAAATTTGCACATTTTCGATTGAATTAAGGATGTTTTTTTATTTTATAGTAAGTAGGGTCTATAAGGTGAATCTATGATTGACCTGCACTGCTTTCTTATAGAAGTTAGACCTGCTTTGATAATGATTCATAACTTCATAAGCTTCTACATAGATTCTAATATGGATGGGTCTAGACTGAAAGATTCATCATTTTAGGCACCATCATTTTATTTTATTTTACATAGTCTAGACTAGACTATATGCCAAAAGAATGTTTGTAGTCTATATCTTGTTTCAAAAAGAGAAGTTATTTAATATGTGCATGAACACTTTTTTATATCTTCACCAGATTCCAGAAAGATGATATCTACCGACTGAAGCATGCTTTGGGGGTGCCACAAACAATCACCTTGGAGAACAAGGTCAAAGTGGATGGCCTTGAAGCGCTCTGCCTCACACTACAGCGCTACGCATACCCTTGCAGGTATGGAGACCTGGTCAAGGACTATGGGAAGGCAGTACGTCAGCTCTGTCTGATGTTTAAGTGGATGACCAACTTTCTGTACGCAAGACACAATTCCCTGTTTACATCACTGGAACAGAACTGGTTGTCTCCACATCACCTGCAGATCTATGCAGAGGCAATCCACGGGAAGGGTGCTGCTCTCAGCAACTGTTGGGGCTTTATCGATGGTACGGTCCGTCCCATTTGTAAACCTGGTGAACACCAGAGGGTGATGTACAATGGACACAAGCGCATCCATGCCCTCAAGTACCAATCCGTGACAACTCCTAACGGTTTGATTGCCTCTTTGTATGGACCTGTGGAAGGTCGCAGGCATGACGCCTTTCTTTTGCGGGACTCAGGGCTCCTGGCAGAACTGGAGGCCACAGGCGCGGATCCAGGGGGGGCCGAGCGGGCCTTGCCCCCCCCCCCCCCAAAAAAAAAAAAAAAAGAGAGAAGAAAGGAAAAGAAGGGAAAGGGAAAGAGGAGAGAAAGAGAAAGAAAGAAGAAGAAGAAGAAAAGAAAAGGGGGAAGAAGGAAATCGGGGGGGGGGGGACCGAAAGGGCCTTGCCTCCCAGGCTGTTGACCCCCCCCCCCCCTCCCCCCCCCCCAATTAAAAAAATAGGAGAGAAGGAAGGAAAGGGAAAGAATAAAGGAAAAGAGGAGATACTGGCGTACTAATAGGGGGGGGGGGGCTTTGGAGAAATCAAATTCAAACGTGGTTTATTTCTAATTCCACAACGGCGGATTACAAATAATGCTGAAATGACATAATTTCCCAGATTTTTTTTCCCTCATTTTTTAGTAAATTATACATTTGTATATGTGTTTGTTGGAAAATGACAAATTCCTAAATTTACAGCCAGGCACGAAATATGATTCTTGAGATTCCTACATGTCAGGGCCCGAGGTACGGCAGGGATCGGGAGCCTCGAGCTCCCTCCCCCCCCCCCCCCCCCCCCCCCCCACCATTTTATTTGAAAAAGTATATTAAAGAGAAAAAAATAGAATGAGAGCAAGAAAGAAGGAATAGTTAACTGCCAGTGTTAAAAAATGAGGCATCAAAATATGCTCATCTGACCGTGATTAAATGCCTAAAACCCCTAAGCTTCCGGGGGCTCTGCCCCCTGGATTCCACTTAGGGTGCTACGGCGGGCCCTTAGATGCTCATCTGACGGTAATTTAATGCCTAAAACCCCTCTTTGGGGGGGATCCGCCCCCAAATAGTGACCTGCCAGTGTCACAAAATAATAGGTATTAAACAAAAATGATCATCTGACCTTAATTAAACGCCTAAACCCCTGAGCTTCCGGGGCCGGACAGGTTATCAAAATGTGTTTATCTGACCGCAGGCGCGTAGCCAGGGGGGGGGGGCGGTCCCCCCAAATCGGAAGAGGACGTAGGAAGTAAAAGGAGCAGAAAAAGAACATCTTTGAAATTCAGACAAGGATTAAGAGTATAGAGAACGGTACAACGCATCGTCTTCTTTCTCTAATAATTTAATGAAACGTCAAAGCTTCGCGCAAAAGGGGGGGGGGAACTGAATTTAGACGAGGATTAAGAGTCGAGAACTCTACAACGAATCGTCTTCTTTCTCTCATAATCTTATGAAACTTAAAAGCTCCCGCGCTTTGCGCGGGAGGGGGGGGGGGGACCTAAATTCAGACGAGGATTAAGAGTCGAGAACGGTACAACGAATCGTCTTCTTTCTTTAATAGTTTAATGAAACGTCAAAGCTTCCGCGCTTCGCGCAGGAGGGGGAGGGGGGGGACTGAATTTAGACGAGGATTAAGAGTCGAGAACGGTACAACGAATCGTCTTCTTTCTCTCAAATTCTTATGAAACTTAAAAGCTTCCGCGCTTTGCGCGGGAGGGGGGGGGGGACCTGAATTCAGACGAGGATTAAGAGTCGAGAACTCTACAACGAATCGTCTTCTTTCTCTCATAATCTTATGAAACTTAAAAGCTCCCGCGCTTCGCGCGGGAGGGGGGGGGGGACCTAAATTCAGACGAGGATTAAGAGTCGAGAACTCTACAACGAATCGTATTCTTTCTTTAATAGTTTTATTAAATGTCAAAGCTTCCGCGCTTCGCGCAGGAGGGGGAGGGGGGGGGACTGAATTTAGACGAGGATTAAGAGTCAAGAACGGTACAACGAGTCGTCTTCTTTCTCTAATGATTTAATGAAACGTAAAAGCTTCCCCGCTTCGCTCGGGAAGGGGGAACCTGAATTCAGACGAGGATTAAGAGTCGAGAACTCTACAACGAATCGTCTTCTTTCTCTCATAATCTTATGAAACTTAAAAGCTTCCGCGCTTCGCGCAGGGGGGGGGGGGGGGGGGGGGGGCTGAATTTAGACAAGGATTAAGAGTCGAGAACTCTCCAATGAATTGTATTCTTTCTCTAATAATTTAATAAAACGTAAAATTCGCGCGGAAGGGGAAAAACTAAATTCAGACGAGGATTAAGAGTAGGGAACTCTACAACGAATCGTTTTCTTTCTCTCATAATCTTATGAAACTTAAAAGCTTCCGCGCTTCGCGCAGGAGGGGGGGGGGACCTGAATTCAGACGAGGACTAAGAGTCGAGAACTCTACAACGAATCGTCTTCTTTCTCTCATAATCTTATGAAACTTAAAAGCTTCCGCGCTTCGCGCGGGAGGGGGGGGGACCTGAATTCAGACGAGGATTAAGAGTCGAGAACTCTACAACGAATCGTATTCTTTCTTTAATAGTTTAATGAAACGTCAAAGCTTCCGCGCTTCGCGCAGGAGGGGGAGGGGGGACTGAATTTAGACAAGGATTAAGAGTCGAGATCTCTACAACGAATCGTCTTCTTTCTCTAATAATTTAATAAATCGTAAAATTTTTCGCGCTTCGCGCGGGAGGGGCAAAACTAAATTCAGACGAAGATTTTGAGTCGAGAACGGTACAACGAATCGTCTTCTTTCTCTAATAATTTAATGAAACGTCAAAGCTTCCGCGTTTCGTAGAGTAGGGTGGGGACAACTCGCCCCCCCCCCCTCACCGACCCCCCCCCCCCCCCGCATTACGTCACTGTTGGTCACCATTATGTACCAATATTTGGCTCGCATAATTTCAAATTTGGGCCCCACCCCCCTAAGAAATCCTGGATACGCGCCTGGGAGGCCAGGTCTCGCGATGAACAAGGCAATATCCTTTGTATTTATGGGGATCCAGCCTACCCACTACGCCCACAACTACAAGCACCTTTCCCAAC